GGGTGGGAGGACGAATGGGGTGTGATTGGGGGTGGGGTGGGATGGGGGTGGTGGGGAAGGGGGCTGTGTGGGAATTGGGGTGGGCAAAAGGTGTAATAAGGGTGAATGACAAAAATGGTCCAGGGCCTTGTTGGACCAAGCACCACAGAGTTATTTACTCGTCTGAGTTGATAGGATTCGCACTGAGGTCTGTATTTCAATAGTTCATGGGTGTACCAACTGAGCTAGGCCTGTTGGTATTTCTTCCTTGTTTGATTATTACGTTGGCCATGCATCTGTGTTTTGAACCCCGGGATCGGGATCTGGCTGACCCTTTCTTTTCTTTGAAAGGGCGATGGTCTTTAGGTGTCATTGTCGGGCGCTGGCTTGGGATGACCCTTAGTTTGGGGGGACCACTCCTCGACGTGCGGGTACTAGATAATGATCCTTACTTCAGGGCCTCAGGCCCCGCCACGCACGCGTGGCCTTGAACCAGCACCCTCAGCCACAGGAAGTAAGTCTCCTATCCTAACCACTACAGCCAGGACACTGTGTTTAAAAGTGGAACCATACCGGTCGTGATATCCACCCCACCTCTGCGTCTCATCCGTTAAAATTGGAATGATACGGGGATGACCCTTTTGCGGGGAATGAGCCCCTTGGAAATGCTTAAGAGAGGCCACGCCCGCCCTAAGTGAAGGTGGGCCTGCAAGAATTGGGCTTGGTCTCCTGTGTTGAGGCCTGCGAGAGCAGAAATGGGGCCCCCGTGGGAAGTTGCTGCGTGCAGCATCTTTAACCAAGCGGTAGGGCCCAATCCCCAGGTGGTTGAAGATGCTGAGGCCCAGGGCTCAGGTAGTTAGGCCCCAGGTACATTTCGGAAAGGGCCCAGGGCGCAAGTACTTGGATAGGGCGCAGCCAGTCCAGCCAGGCCGCGAGCCTCACAGCCAGCACAAAAGGAAGTGAGGCTGACTCACTTCACACATTTTGGCTGCCTGGAAGCGGCAGTGCTGCCGTTCGCTCGCTCATGCGGATGAGCGCCAATCCAGAGGAGAAGGGCGCAGGTGCGGCGCGTGGTATCTGCTTGGCACAGTGGAGCAGGGAGGCGCAGCAGCCATAGCTAGAGGAGGACGGCGGTGGTCCTTGGGTAGAAGGGACTGTGGATGAAGTCAGTGGGGGAGGAGCAGTGTGCCGAGGTGCTTACCTGGTGGAGAAGAAGTGGGCCATCTACTTGGAGTCTTCATTCGTCATCGGGCTCATGATCTCCATTGTGGACCGGTTGTAGCTAGGCGCCTAGGTCGATAGGAGCTATCTGTTTGTAGTCTGGGCACCGAGCGCCACTATAGATGACCTACATTGTTGACATCGGTGATGGGAGGCGGGACGAGGGCTTTCATTATCATGTCATGTTTATGCTTTGCTCGTACTGGGACCCCTGCTAAGATATTCACCTCTCACAATCAAGGGGAAGCATGTTGTCCCTCCCCCGCCCTAATCGGCAGTGGTTAGGCAGTAGGGTGGGGCCGGCAGGAAGGGGGGAAGCGGCCAACTCAAAGACTCACATTTTGCCAGCAGCTGCGCCTTCCATCTACTTCTCCCGCCCACATCAAGTACCAGCAGTGTCCATGCCCACCACTCACATGCCGCAAAACAACCCTACACAGATACGCAGCCACACCCTTGCTGCCCAAAGACACTACAGGATATGGCTCAAGCGGGGGAAGGGAGGAGCTGGGCTGTACAAAAGACCCCCCCAAAAAGCCCGCAGTTATACATCGACTTTCCCTTCTCACACGGTCAAAGCTCGCATATGCACTCTTGTTGCCGTGTTGTGACATTGGGCCTGGCTCCACTACTGAACTCTCAACTTGTATCTGGATCTCTTAATCGTCCCGATGCATTCGAAATGTTGGGTCAGTCAGAATGCATCTGGCGCTGCGTCTGCCGAGATACATTTAGCATGTTCTGCTGCATGGGGACGCCCATTTACTGGGACATTCTACGAGAATGGAAGCTCAACGGTTGGTAAACTTTTGGCCCTGCCGGCCCAGCTTTGGCAAAGTTCTTTCCTTCTGTTGCTGTGTTGAGGCACAGCCTGCATTGGCTAAATATGCGGTCTTGTTGTGGCAGAAATTCCGCAGAATGCTAAAAAAAAAAAGGAAAAGAAAACTTAGAAAATAAAAGAAAATGGTCGCTGCTACCACTGCCAACTTTTTTTCTCGGTCAGCAAAAGTTATCTCCTCTTTATGTGAGAGGTGTAGTCTTGGGGGGTGTGGTCGAAGATTGTTTTTTTAATAATTAATTATTAATAATTATTATTTTGTTATTATTATTATCCTTTTTTTTTTGCGCGTGGTCAAAGATCTTCAGTGCTTGGATGGATGGATGTGTGGGAAGAGGGGGGGAGGAAGGGGAGGAGGGAGGGGAGGAGGGAGGGGAGGAGGGAGGGGAAGAGGAGAAGGGGGGGGTAAAGAAAGTATGTGTGGTTGAAGATTTTTCACCACTCCACAGGACCCCTGAACAGGAGGATTGACTGTGAGATATAGGTATAGGGCCTCGCCCTACTGCTTAACCTTTGACTCTTATCTCAAGTGTTGAAAGGACCAGATGCACCAGGACTGATGGAACATTCTGAATGTACTTTGGCCATTACCAGGTACAGATACGTTTACAATCTTGTGCAGTGTAGTGAGGCAGGCCCATAATCTTTTCCTTCTCGGATTCCTCTCAGTCTCGATAGCTTCGAGATTATCAGATTGAAATGACTACCGTCTTCACCCGAAGACCACGTACGCCGCGCGGTCATCATCGCTGTATCTAGACTGAAAATTTCCCCCAATTTTTAGGTATAAAAAAGTACGTCCTATTCGTGAGGAAGAGGGCCATGGTACGCAAGGAAATTTGAGGCCCCTGTCACACCAGTGACACCACCCTGGGATGTTAAAAAACCAAAAAAAAAAAAAAAAAAAGAGGCCGTTTGCTGTCGTCTCGCCT